CGGTCTCCCGCGGCGCGAAGCGGCCGGAGTCGCGGACCGCCACCTCCTCCTCCAGCTCCACCTCGACCGGGCCGGTCTCGTCCGTGCCGAGCGCGCGGTTGATCTGGTCGTACGAGTGGGCGCCCCAGCCGCTGACGCCAAAGCACAGCCCGCCCGAGTCGTAGTCCCACCAGCGGGCCCAGTCGCGGTGGAGCCGGGCGTCGTACGGGCGGAGCTCGGCCTGGTTGGTCCACGTGTCCCACCACGGGTCGACCGGGCCGGTCACGTCGGCCGGGCCGGTTTCTGTCCAGCGGTACGGGCCGATGAAGTTGGGCGCGAGCACCACCGCGATCTCGCCGATGGCGCCGTTCTTAACCAGGTCGCTCGCCCAGTTGTTGATTGGCATGCTCCGCTGCTGGGTGCCGACCTGCGTCACACGGTCGTACGCGCGGGCCGCGTTGACCATCGCGCGGCCCTCAGAGATGGTCAGGCACATCGGCTTCTCGATGTACGCGTCCATGCCCATCTGCATCGCGTGGATGGCGATCCACGCGCGGGCGTGGGTGGTGGTCTCGATCATGACGGCGTCGAGCTGCTCCCGCTCGATCATCGCGCGGAAGTCCTCGTACGCCGGCCATTTGCCGCCGGAGAGCTCTTGAGAGAAATCTTCCGCCCGCTGCTTCAGGCAGTCCGCGACGGCGACCACGTTGAAGCCCTTCACGTCGGCGCCCTCGCGGATCATCCGGGCCCGGCCGCCGCAGCCGATCACGCCGACGCGGACGGTTTCGCTGGGCGGCGCGGCGCCGTCGCGGCCGAGCGCCGAGGCGGGGATCAGCGTCGGGGCGGCGAACGCGGCGGCGCCCAGTTTCAGCGCTTCGCGACGCGTGTAGTTGTGGCGGGGCATTCGGTCAACTCCGTGGGGGTGTTTGGTTGCGGTCGGCGGGCGGGCGCAGCTCGCGGAGCCGGACACTCTTGAACTCGGCCTTCATGGGGGGGCCCTGGTGCATCTGCAACGCGATAATGCCGCGCGGCAGGGCGAACTTCTTCTCGTGGTCGGTGGCTTCGCACATCAGCTTGTTGTTGATCCAGATCTTCACCCGGGGCCCGTCGGCGAGGACGCGGAGCTCGTTCCAGTCGTTGTCGCGGACCGCGGTGAGCAGCTTGCCCGCGTCGGCGAAGGTTTCCGTCTGCTTGTGGCCTTGGGCGTCGATCTCAACTCGCTGCCCGCGCTCGGCCACCAGGCCCCGCACGTGCTGGTACAGGCAGCCGGTGTACTGGTTGGCCGAGTCGGCGTCCGCTTGGTAGCCCCAGGCGTCGAACTTCGGCCGACGCTCGCTGCGGAACTGCACGCCCGAATTCGCGGCGCCGCTCAGCCGGTACACGACTCGCAGCTCGAAGTCGGCAGGCTCGCCACCGGTCCAGTACAGGTAGTGCGACTTGAGGCAGGGCCGGTCGGGCGTGCTCTCGGCGAACAGGACGCCGCCCCGGACTTGCCACCATCCGGCGGCGCCCTCCCAGCCGTCCAGGTTCCTGCCATTGAACAGCTCTCGGAAGCCGTCGTCGGATTCCTTGTTGGCGTCTCCGCAGAACGCCGGAGCAGTGCATAGCAGGCCTGCGGTGATCGCAAGCGCAAGGATCCGCGGCATAGACACGACACGCAGGGGGATGGAGGGGAGGGGGGTTCGTTCCGACCCTATCGAGCTGCCAGGCTGGCCGCATTCTGCCACGCGGCGCCGCCAGACGCAACTTCTCGCAAGAGACGCTTGCTGCAGGCGCCGACGGTCGGTGCTGTTCAGGCCTCTGCAATCGGCTCCGCTCAGGCCGATTCTTGTAGGAAATGGCCGCGCGGCGCGGTCCAATGCTGGTTATTGGGCGGGGTCTAGGGCTGCCACGGGCAGCGGCGCCGCCGTGTCTCGGGGGGAGGGCGGGTTCGATGAGTTTTGTCCGTTTTGTCCTGCGAGGATGGACAATACTCGGCGGGTTTTGTCCCTCGACGGCGGCCGAAACCCCTGGTTTTACCGAGTGAAACGGCAGCCGGCGCGGACAAAACCCACCGAGTAAAGTCGCTAAGATTGGATATCCGTAGGAGGGACAAAACTCCTCGGGCGGCACGTCCGAACCCACGCTTGCCGTTAGCGTCCGGCACGTGCTGCGGCGGTCGCGAGGCCAACCAGGATGAGCAGCGTCAGAGAGGCCGGCGTCGGCGCCGCGTGGGGCAGGTTGGCTGCTGGCAGCGCGTCGCGCCACACGGTGTAGTCCGCGGCATTGACGAGGCCGTCGCGGTTGCCGTCGGCGTGGTCGCCGGTGGCGTCGACGGCGGTGCCGAAGCCTGCCCGCCACAGTTCGTAATCCGCCGCGTCGACAGCGCCGCTGCGGTCGTAGTCGCCAGGCACGACGGCTGTCAGGAAGTCGACCGGGTCGACAACGCCCGGCGTGAAGCGGACCTTGGCGATCACGCCCTCAAAGAAGTTGACCTTGTTGTGTCGCATGCCCAATGAAACCTGCCCGTCGGCGGTGGCCAGCACCGCCAGGTCGCCCTGCAGCTCCAGCTTGCCGTTCAGGTAGGCGCTGAGGGTGTCGCCGTCGTAGGTCATGGTGAAGTTGTACCACCGGCCGAGGGGGTGCAGCTTGGTGTCGTCGATGATGGCCAGGCTGTTCACCACGCTGGGGTTGGACTGGCCGGGCCGCTGCGAACGGACGAACGCGTCGAGGTACCACTGGTCGCCGGTGACGCGGGTCTCGAGGGTGGCGCGGTGGTCTGGCGGCAGGGGCGACTGCACGTGCAGCACCCGGGGCTGGGCGCTCGACGGGTGGAGGATAGGGTCGGGGCGGAACAGCATCTCGATGGTGTAGGTCGCGGCGCCGGCAATGGGGTTCGCGTCGACAATCACGCCGTCGTCGCCATCGAACAGGAGCCCCTCGCCAAAGGGCGTGGACACTACCGTGGGACTGCCAACCACGTCCGCCACCGCGACGCCGCCGATGATGGTCGTGTTGTTGACGTCCCACGTCACCTGGGCGGCAAGCGGCGCGCACAGAACGCCGGAGGACGCGATCAGCACCGAACGAAGGAGGCAGACGCGAAGCATGTCAACTCGAGTTGCACGAAGGGGTGTGGCTGGCGGCGCGCAGCCAAGAGCGACAAAACGGCACGGACGCCGCCCCGCGTCCGTGCCGAGCGGTTGGCCGATCGCCGTGGCCGACTACCGGCGCCGGCGGGCCATCACGCCTGCGAAGGCCACCGACAGCAGCCCGAGTGCCGCGGGTTCCGGCGCGGCGGACGACGCGGAGCTTGGAGCCGCAGCTCCGTACTGCGAACGCCACAGGGCGTAGTCGTCGGCGTCGACGCCGCCGAGTCCGTCGCCGTTGCCGCCGAGGGCAGACTCGTCGCCGCCCAGGTTGTCGCGCCAGACGGTGTAGTCTGCCGCGTCGACGGCGTTGTCGTTGTTGAAGTCACCGGGGAGTCCGTCGGGACCCGCGATCGGCGTGACGTCCGAGTAGGTTTCGCCGATGCGGAGCTCGTCGAGGTTCCACTCTCCCGGGCCGGCGCCCTGATCATTACCGGCGAAGAGCCGCAGGAGGTCGAACGAGAACTCGGAGCCCTCGGGCTCGTTGTTGTAGGCGGCGGCCCCCAACGCGTCCGCCGCGGCGATGATTTCCTCGGGCCGGTAGTAGCCGAAGGCGTCTTCGTCCGCGGGGGTTGCGCCCAGATCCGGGTTCACCCACATGGTGACCGAGTCCTCGGCGCCGCTGTTGTGATTGATCCGCATCACAAACAAGGCCTGATCGGTGAACAGCACGTCCGAGTACACGTCACGGACACTGGGGCTGGCGGAGTTCGGGTTGGGGGGCGTGTGTTCTTCCAGGTACGGGTTGGCCACCACCTGCGGCGCCCGCACGGTCCAGCGGTCCTCGGTCGTGGCGCCGTCGGGCAGGGTGAAGGTGACGTTGGAATTTTCGCCGATGTTGATCTTCTCTGCCGCGCCGCCCTGGGGTTCGCTCTCGGGGTTAGGGGAGTGGGTGGTGTCGAACAGCGTGAAGTTGGCGCCGCGCACCGGCATGCCCAACCGGACGCCGACCATGCTGAACCAGGTCTCGGCTCCGGTGGTGTCATCGCGGCGGAAGTCGAGCGCCCGGCCGATAAAGGTGGTGCCGCTGGCGCCGGAGTTGAGGAGCATGTTGCCCGAGGTCTGCAGCATGTTGCCGCCGGTGTCGGAGTAGGTCAGGCTGCCCGCCGAGATCACGTCCGAGGTTCCAATCCCCTGCGATAAAACGTCACCCCAGGCCCCGTCGAAGCCTGTGCCGCCGTCGAGACCGTTGAGCGCAGCGCCGGCGTCGTAGTCGAAGCCTTCGTAGGCCAGCAGCACCGCGTGGGCGGGCGTCGCCGTGGCGGCGATCAACGCCACGCCGGCCACCACCGCGGCGACGTGGCCAGTACTTATTTTGACGAAGCTCGGCATCCCAATCCTCCCAGATGTAGAAGAGTTTTCACAAAGTGAGCCGCCTACTCGAGGCGCCCGCGCCCGCCACCAAGCGGATCTGCCGCCAGGCAAGCCTGGCAGCGTAGAACCTCAGGCCGCAGCGATGAGCGCGGAGGCCGTCAGCCCGTAGTTGCGGACGCGCAGGCTCTCAGTCGCTCCCGGTGAACGAGAGACGCAATCGACGCAAATCGGTATGACGAAACCGACGCCCGCGGCCCTAGCCGCGCGGTTCGGGTTGCAGGGTCAGGCTGCCGCCGGCCTCCGACTCATGCGGACCGTCGGGTTCAACACTGCCAGCGTTTGGCGCCGGCGAGTCGAGTGAGCTGAGCAGAAAAGTAGGGAAAAGAAGCGATTGTCGCGGGGTTCATCCTATCAAGACGCGCCCCCGATCCTAGGACAGATCTTGCAAACAGTCGGCTACTTTTCGCGGAGCGCGAGAGCAGTCAAAGGCGCCTCAGGGGTGCGCCGCTGGCGCACCGGGCGCCGAGTAGAAACGGCAATTTGGGCGATCTCACGGCGGAACGGCTCGGCTGCACCGGTCTACCGAGGCTTGCGAGGCGGAGTCAGGCCAATCGGCTTGGTCATTGAATCGACCGCGTTAAAGCCTGCTTTGGTGGTGAAGGGCCATGTGCGCTCGGTCTTCTTGGTGGAGAAGCCTAGCCGACGATACAAGCGCTTCGCGTCCGGGTTGGTGTCCACGACCTCGAGCGTCAGCTCTTGATAGCCGTTTCGGTCGGCGTAGCGCTCAACCTCATGCAGCATCTGAGTGCCAATCCCATGGTTGCGTAGCTCGGGGAGCACCGTGATCGCTTGAATGTTGAGTTCCCCGGCGTGACAATTCTTCTCGTGCACCAGCCAGTAGTTGATGCGGCGTCTGATAGTTCCCAAGAGACCGAACTCGTGGATGCCGAGCTTCCAGTCGAAGCGGAAGCATCGCTGTTTGCCGAGGTTCATGAACAGCACGCCGCAGACCCGGTCGTCGATCACCGCTACCAGGCTCTGCGAGAAGTCGACTAGCTGTGGGATGAGCCGCTTGGCCTGGTCCTCGCTCTTGGTCAGGATCAGCAGGTGGTGAATCTTCCGCGCGAACCCCTCGTACAGCACGTCGACCGCGGCGGACTGCTGGGCGGGGGAGAGGGCGCCTCCGGAGGCGGTGTTTACTCGGGCGGGGGACCGCTGAGTTGTGGCTGCGGGCATGGGCTTGCTCGTTTGAGAAAGGCGAACGGCAGATAGGCCAAGTGGAAGTTCACCAAGCCAAGCACCATCGTCGCGGTGACGTACACCGGCCAGGGGCCGAGGAGCTCTTGAACCGAGCCGATGGGCTTCTCACGCAGGTAGAAGTAGTTGGCGTCCACCCAGTAATTGACCGGCATCACCACGCACAGCACGCAGGCGACGAGCCCAATGGTGGTGTAGATGCCGCGGTAGCTGGGTCGGCGCCCGAGCGCCGCAATGGCGAAGACGGCCGTCACCACGACGCCCCCGTGCAGGGCCCAGAACGCGAAGAACCGCGGGTGGGGGAACGACGGCGCGAACACGGGCGTGATGCAGGCGTGCAGCACGCCGGAGGTGGCGCCGTAATACAGGAAGTCGAACGCCACCTGGCTGCGAGTGGTGATCGCCACGGGCGCCATGATCCCCACCACGTAGCAGAACTCGAGCGGCAGGTCGCGGGCCGGCACAAAGACGCCCAGCCACAGCACCGCCGCCAGCCACAGCAGGTACCCCGATGCAGACACCAGAGCCAGCCCGACGCCGATCCCGGCCGGCAGCGACTGCCCCGGCCAGAGCCTGCCCAACAGCGGGAGCAGCACCGCCAGCCCGACCAGCGTCGCCAAGCAACCCAGGTGCTCGGGGCAGAAATGGGACATCGTGTCCCAAGTCAAGAATGCCTCGCGGCTCCACATCAAGGCGCGGTAGGGACTGGGCGTGGTTGGGCTTGCGTTGCGGCTTCGAGGTGACCGCATCGTAGTGGATCAGACGCCCGTGCCAAAGTGATTCGCCGCGGGTATTGTGCCCGATCGACGGCAGATGTCCGCCCGGCCGTGTGGCTGCGCCGAATCCGGGGCGTGCGGGCTCTGGCCAAAGTTGTCCGGCTAGACGAGATTGGAGGGCCCGCCTGATTCACGACACCACCCCGAGGTCCGCTATGTCGCTGGAAAACACGGAACCCCGTCGCGTCGCGTGCGTGGGAGCGAGTGTCACATTCGGCCGCGGCCTGGAGAATCGACGCGACGAGTGTTTCCCCGCCGTGCTCGGGCGGCTGCTGGGGAGTTCGTACGAGGTACGCAACTTTGGGTACTCCGGCGCGACCGCCGGCCGTGACACCAACGAGCCCTACTGGCGGACGCCGTCGTTCACTTCGGCCAATCGATTTGCCGCAGAGACCGTGCTCGTTTCCCTCGGTACGAACGACGCCCAGCACGCCAACCTCAAGAACCTGCCAAACTTTCGCACCGACTACACGGAGCTGGTGGAGCACTTTTGCAAACTCCGCGCCGGCGCACAGGTGGTGGTTGCCTTGCCCCCGCCGGTGTTTGACCCGCTGCCCGAGATCAGCATCCCCACGCTCGACGGCGCCATCCGCCCCGCCATCCTTGAGATCGCCGAGCAGTTGGGACTGCCGGTGCTGGACGGGCACACGATGTTCGTCGATCGCCAAGACTTATTTGCTGACAACCTGCACCCTAACGCCGAGGGGGCACGGATGATCGCGGAAGCCGCCTACGCACTCGTCAGACCACAATAGCTGCAACGGTCGATGTTAAGATTGAGAGGTTCGCGTTCCTGCTGCTGAGGGCCCCCGATCCTCGACGCAGCTGCCTGGACAGCCCGGTTGTGGAGCAGCCCTGACGCCGCGATAATTCAGGATTACCGAATCTGCTCCCCCGTCCACATCCCCCATCCCCGTTCGTACTATGCCCCTGCTTGTTGTTGGATCGGTCGCCATTGATAACGTTGAAACCCCAGAGGGCGGTCGGCACGACAACCTGCTGGGCGGGTCCGCGACCCACTTCTCGTACGCGGCCAGTTTCTTCACGCCCGTCCGTCTGGTGGGCGTGGTGGGCGAGGACTGGCCGGCCGAGCACACCAAACTGCTCCAGAGCCGCAACATTGACACCACCGGCCTGCAGGTCGTGGAAGGCGGCAAGACCTTCACCTGGACGGGCCGTTACGAGCCGAACATGAACGACCGGGAGACGCTCAACGTCGAGCTGAACGTGTTCGGCGAGTTCAACCCGGTGCTGCCCGAGAATTACCGCCAAGCCCAGTACGTCTTCCTTGCCAACGGCGTGCCCGGTGTGCAGCAGAAGGTGCTCGACCAGACGCCCGGTCGGAGGCTGGCCGTGGCGGACACCATGGACCTGTGGATCGAAACCCAGCGTAATGATCTCGACGCGTTGCTGGGACAGCTCGACGGTCTGGTGCTCAACGACAGCGAGGCCAAGTTGATGACCGGCACAGAAAACCTCGTCAAAGCCGGCCACATGGTCCGCGACATGGGACCCAAGTTCGTGATCATCAAGAAGGGCGAGCATGGCGCCATGTTCTTCTCTGAGCACGAGACCTACGTCATGCCCGCCTACCCGACCGACCTGGTTGTCGACCCGACCGGCGCGGGCGACAGCTTCGCCGGCGGCATGATGGGCTACCTGGCCGAGCAGGACAATGGATTCGAGCCCGAGCAGATCAAGACCGCCATGGCCTACGGCACGCTGACCGCCAGCTTCAACGTCGAGGGCTTCGGTCTTGCCCGCATGAAGGAGATCACCCGCGACGACATCGAGGAACGGATGGTGAAGTTCCGCAAGATGCTCACGTTCTAGTGGCCCGCCCGCGTTTCCTTTCACGCCCGACAACTACTTGAAGACCCGCACCTTCATCGCCGTCGAGGCGTCACCCGAAGTCCGCGCCGGGGCGTTGGCCGCCGTGCAGCGATTGGCGGCGCACCGAAAAGACTACCGCTGGGTGGAGAAGGAGAACCTGCACTTCACGCTGCAGTTTCTTGGCGACATCACGGATCAAGAAATCGTCGACGTCTGCAGCCGGGTCAAAGCAGCGGTCGAGGGCTTCGATCCCTTCGAGATCACCGCGCAAGGGATCGGCGCATTCCCGACCCCAGCCAAGCCAAAAGCGTTATGGGTGGGGGTCGGCGAGGGCGAAGAGGCGTTGGTCGAGTTGCACGCGGCAATCGATGCACGGCTCGCTGAGCTTGGGTTCCGTGGAGAGAATCGCCGCTTCGTGCCCCACCTGACGATCGGCAAGCTGCTCAGGACCTCGCGACCACCGGAAGAGCTGGCGGGTGAGCTGTCCAGCCTAACCGACTTCGAGGCGGGAAAAATGGTGGTGGATGCTGTCACCGTGTACGCCAGTCAACTTCGCCCAGACGGGCCCGAATATCACGTGCTGGCCCGCGTGACCCTGTAGGTTTACCAGCGGCGGAATCTGCTAAGCAAAATAGAGGCGGGATTTCTATTGATGGAGGTAGTGTACACCGATATACTATTCGGGTGTACAGTGCATGCCCACGCCGTGTGGCGCCCGCTGAGGGCGTCGGCGGGATTATCGGCACGGGTGACTTGAAACATCCGTAACCCTCCACCATAAAAGGACTTGTCGCATGGTTTCTACAGCAGCAGTGAACAACGGGACGGCGAAGAATCGTATGGCTAAGCGAGGGAAGAGCGGCAAGGCAACGGCCAAAAAGACGCCTGAGGCCAAGAAGAAATCGGTTATGGACAGCGTGCTGGAGAACAGCGACGACCTGCGGCACACCGTGGCCGCGATCGAGAAGCAGTTCGGCGAAGGCGCGATCATGCCACTGGGCAGTGAGTCAGACCGCCGGATTAAGGGCATCTCGACCAGCAGCCTGTCGCTCGATATCGCCTTGGGCGGGCAGGGCATCCCCTGCGGCCGTATCATTGAAGTCTTCGGGCCTGAATCCAGCGGTAAAACGACGCTAGCCCTGCACGTGATCGCCGAGTCGCAGAAGAAGGGTGGCATCGCCGCCTTCATCGACGCCGAGCACGCCCTGGACCCCAGTTGGGCCAGGAAGCTGGGCGTCGACCTGGAGACCCTGCTCGTGAGTCAGCCGAGCCACGGCGAAGAGGCGATGCACATCACCGAGATGCTCATCAAGAGCAACGCGGTGGACGTGATAGTAATCGACTCGGTGGCTGCGCTGGTTCCGAAGAAAGAACTGGATGGCGAGATCGGCGATTCCCACGTTGGCCTGCAGGCCCGGCTGATGAGCCAGTCGATGCGGAAGCTCACTGGCGCCATCGCGAAGAGCAAGACATCCGTTATCTTCATCAACCAGATCCGCGAGAAAATCGGCGTGATGTTTGGCAGCCCAGAAACCACGCCCGGTGGACGGGCGTTGAAGTTCTACTGCTCCTGCCGGATCGACGTGCGGAGGATTGGCCAGCTGAAGGACGGCGAGGAAGTTGTCGGCCAGCGGGTACGGACCAAGATCGTCAAGAACAAGGTGGCGCCGCCGTTCCGGGTTGCCGAGTTCGACATGATGCACAAGGATGGCGTTAGCTACGAGGGGGACCTGATTGATCTTGGTATCGAGCAGAAGATCCTCAGCCGCACCGGCGCTTGGTTCCGGTACGGCGAGATGCAGCTCGGGCAGGGCAAGGAAAAAGCGAGGCTCTTCCTGAAGGAAAACCCCGATATCGCCGCCGAAATCAAAGACAAGATCTTGGCAGCCGGCGGGTTCGATGACCTGCTCGCGATGAAGCCCAGTGAGGTCGCCGCCGAGGTGGCGAAGGAAGAAGAAGACGGCGAAGAATAATCGCCGCGGCCGGTCAACCGCACGGTTGGAGCGTCCTGCGGCGTCAAGCGAGCAGAAGACTGTATGAGGCACAGCACGACTACTCCGCGCCGCGTGCGGCGGATTCAAGTTGGCGTTCTAGGCGCCGGTCGGCTGGCCGTCGCATCGGGCGTTTTGTGCTGCTGCCTGCTTGCCGGACCGGCGTTTGGCCAGCCGGAGGCCGGTTCCCCGGCCCAGCTGCTATCGGCTTTCGAGACGACGCTGATCGAAGTGATCGAGCGGGTCGAGCCGTCGGTGGTCGCGGTGTCCCGTGCTCCACGGCCGGCCCCGCGCGCCGCGGCGCTACCGGGCGATCAGGCCCGGCTGCGGCAACAGTTTCAGCCTGGAGAGTTGCGGGCGTTGCAAGAGCTTGACGCTGGGTTTCCTGGCGCCGATCCCCTTGAGCGTTTTCGACGCAACGACCCCACCGCTTCGACGATGAAGGTCACCGGCGCGGGCGTCGTGATTGACGCCGCGGGCTTAGTCCTGACGCAGTACCTGGTCGTCAAGCCGGGCGACCTCCATTTTGTTACCACCACCGACGGCGAGGAGCTGCCGGCCGAGATTGTTGGGGCTGACCCACGGAGCGGGCTAGCGGTGCTGCGGGTCCGCAGCGACAAGCTCAAGCCGCTGAAATTTGGCAAGGCGGAGCAGCTGAAAAAGGGCAATCTTGTGATCGCGGTTGGCAACCCGTTTGCCATCGAGAGTGACGGGCAGCCCAGCGTCAGCTACGGCATGGTTTCTAACCTGGCGCAGAAAGCCCCCGGTGGCGAGAACCTTAACGACACCGCCCGCGGCGACGAGTACCGCACCACATTGCATCACCTTGGAACCCTCATTCAAACCGACGCCAAGCTGGGCTGGAACGCCTCGGGCGGCGCCCTGGTAAACCTGGAGGGCGAGCTGGTCGGGCTAACCACGAGCGTCGCGTCGATCGCCGGTCACGAGCAGCCCGCAGGGTACGCGATCCCTATTAATCAGGTGATGCGGCGGATCATTGGTGACCTGAGCGCAGGCCGCGAAGTCGAGTACGGGCTGTTGGGCATCGGCTTTCAGCCGGACGAGATGACCGTCGTTGGGGGACGCGGCGCCGGTGTGGTGGTCGACCGCGTTTACGAGGGGAGCGCCGCCGCCCGTGCGGGCTTGCAGAAGTACGACGTTGTGCTCGCGATTGCGGGGCACGAACTCGCGGGAACCGACCAGCTGCAGCTGGTGGTCGGCGGGCTAGCCCCGGGCGTCGAAACGCCGTTGACGTACGCCCGCAAAGGACAAACGAGCGAGACAACTGTCCGCCTCGACAAGATTTTTGTGCCCGGCGAAAAGGTCGTGACCAGCCCGCAGCCCGCGTGGCAGGGCATCCACGTCGATTACGCCACAGCGGTCGACACCGCGCTGCTGTCGCAGGCCGGGGCACAGGGGTTTATTGATCGAGAGGGGTGCGTGGCAGTAGTGGAGGTTGACGAGGACAGCGTCTCGTGGCGGCAGGGCGTCCGGCCTGGAATGTTTATCAGCCACGTGTCTGGACAGCGGGTCGCCAACCCCCAAGAATTCCGAGAAGCCGTCAAACAGGCGGGCGGCAGCGTCAAGCTGCGGTTCACCCCCGGCAATTCTCCGACGAACGCCCGGCCTGTTGGGCCGCCGCCCGCGATCCCGTGAGCCTGTCTGAATGAAGCAGATCCGACTACGACCGCTCTCGCTCTGCGCGCTGACATTAATCCTGGTTGCCGGTTCCTTGCCCAGCGTGGCGCTGGCGGAACCCTCCGCTGCGTCCGCCGTCCGGCGTGACGCGGACGTCAGCTGGCGTGGGTGGTTGAGAAAATGCGCAGACTGCGAAGCGGACCGTGAGCGCTACGCTTTGCACATGGACCGCGAGTGGCGACGAGCGGCGACTGAACTGCCGGTGGTGATTCAGCTGCACGGGTTCAACTCGACCCCTGCTCACACGCGTCAGCTGCTTGGGCCCGCGAGAAGAGCCGGGCTGCCGTGCGGCGAGTTTGCCTACCCGAACGACCAGCCGTTGCGCGAGTCGGCGGAGCTGCTGTCGGCGCAGCTGAAGTGTTTCGCCAAGCAGCACCCCTCGCGACGGGTCGCGTTAGTCACCCACTCAATGGGCGGGCTGGTGGCGCGGGAGTGCATCGAAGACGACGCCCTGAATCCCGGCAATGTGCGACGGCTCATCATGGTGGCGCCGCCCACGCACGGGTCGTCTCTGGCCAGGTACGCGGTGGGGCTGGACGTGTGGGAGCACTGGATCAGCAGGCCCGATGGGGCTCCGTGGCGGCGGCTTCGCGAGTCGATCGCCGACGGGCTCAGCGAGGCGCCCGCCGATCTGCGTCCCGGGTCAGCGTTCTTGGAGCGGCTCAACTCGCGGCCGCGGCGAGGCGGCGTTGAGTACACCCTGCTGCTCGGTTCGTCCGCACAGCTCAGTGAGGAACAGCGGTACTTCGTCCGGCAGACGTTGCTTAAAACGGCCGACCACACGCCGGGCTGGCAGGCCGACGCGGAGGCGATCGACAGGTCGCTTGGTTGCATGGACGAGATTACCGAGGGGCTCGGGGACGGTGCTGTGTCGATCCGACGTGGCCGGCTGACCGGGGTTGCCGACACCCTGGTGCTCCCATTTAGCCATCTGGGGGTCGTTCACGCCGACGGGGGGGACGGCTGCCGCGAAGCCCAGCGGATCATTCTCGAGCGGCTCCTCGCTGACAATGCTCCCCATCGGGCGGACTAAGCCCCCCGGAGGCGGCGACAAGGCCCCCGCGTTGACACCCCCCGCCAGCGCGATACGATGAAGCGGAAATACAAGCAAGCAAACAGCTTGCGCTGACTGCCAACGGTCCAAACCGGCCGTGCTCCTAGACCAGAGGTTACTAGCCGAAATGCCCAAGCCGATCACGCAACTCGAACTCGCCCTGGCGGGAGAGATCACCCCAGAGATGACGTTTGTCGCTGAGCGCGAGAGTATCTCGGCGGAGGTGGTGCGTGACGAGGTGGCGAAGGGCACGATGGTCATCCCCGCCAACCGCGTTCACTTGGCGGGCCGTCTCGAGCCGATGGCGATCGGCATCGCGTCCAAGTGCAAAGTGAACGCCAACATCGGCAATTCGGCGGTCACCAGCGACATCGATGGCGAGTTGGAGAAGCTGCACACCGCGGTCCACTTTGGGGCCGACACGGTCATGGACCTGTCGACCGGCAAGGACATCGACCGCATCCGCGAAGCGATTATCGGCGCCTCGCCCGTTCCCATCGGCACCGTGCCGATCTACCAGATGCTGGAGGAGATGGGCGGTGAGATCGAGGACATGCGGGCGCAGCACTTCTTGGACATGGTGGAGCACCAGGCCAAGCAGGGCGTGGACTACATGACCATCCACTGCGGCGTGCTGCTGGAGCACCTGGGCCTGACGATGAACCGCGTGACCGGGATCGTTAGCCGTGGCGGCTCGCTGATCGCCAAGTGGATGATGTCGCACCGCAAGCAGAACCCACTGTACGAGGCGTTCGACGACCTCTGCGACATCATGCGTCAGTACGACGTCACCTGGAGCCTGGGCGATGGCCTGCGACCGGGCAGCGTGGCCGACGCCAGCGACGAGGCGCAATTCGCGGAGCTGGACGTGCTGGGCGAGCTCACCAAGCGCGGCCGCGCGCGGGGCACGCAGGTCATGGTGGAAGGCCCAGGCCACGTGCCGATGGACCAGATTCAGATGAACATGGAGCGGCAGGCCGAGGTCTGCGACGGCGCGCCGTTTTACGTGCTCGGCCCGTTGGTCACCGATATTGCTCCCGGCTACGACCACATCACTAGTGGCATCGGCGCCGCGTTGGCCGGCTGGCATGGAGCCGCAATGCTGTGCTACGTCACGCCCAAGGAACACCTCGGCCTGCCCGAGAAAGAAGATGTTAAACAGGGCATGATGGCGTACAAGATCGCCGCCCACGCGGCGGACGTCGCCCGCCACCGCCCGGGCGCCCGCGACCGCGACGACGCGCTCTCTAAGGCCCGTTTCGAGTTTGACTGGAACGAGCAGTTCCGCCTGTCGCTCGACCCGGAGACGGCCCGCGAGTACCACGACCAGACCCTGCCGCAGGACACGTTTAAGAGCGCTCACTTCTGCAGCATGTGCGGGCCGAAGTACTGTTCGATGAAGATCACTCAGGACATCCGCAAGATGGCCCAAGATGGCGACCTGGTGCAGCTGTCTTCATCGGCAGAGTGAATTGGCCCACATTACGCCGCTGGCCGCAAGGTACAATTGGCTGCGTTCCATCCTTCCTCACTGCTACCCACCCACCCGTCAGACGGAGAATCGCCATGATTCGCACCACACTCGCAGCCTTGACGCTGGCCTTGCTGGTCGGCTGTTCCGAATCGGCCACCGAGGCCGTCGACAAGACTCAGGTCATCAGCTCAGAGCCGGTGCAGGAGGTTGCCTTCAACACCGAGGGCCTGCCAACGATTGCGTTCAACGTGCCATCGATGCACTGCGAGGTGATGTGCGCTCCCAAAGTCCGCGATACTCTGGCCAAGCAGCCGGGCGTGAAGGATGTCAGTGTTGATCTTGCCAGCAAGACCGCTGTGGTTGCGGTAGAGGACGGAGAATCGTTCGACGCCACCAAGGCGATCGAGGCTTTAGAGACGGCCGACTTTTCCGATGTCACGCTCAAGACGGACGCGAGTTAAGCTGAGCAATCGGCTACGGAGTCACGTACAATAAAAGCCGCTTGGGGCAGCAGCCCCGGCGGCTTTTTTATTGGACGCTCGGTCTTGCGTCGGCGCCACGCCTACCTACTTGCATGAGATTCTACACATGCGGACCACGATGCTGTTGACGTCGCTTCTGGTGGTTACCTCGGTCACCCATGCCGGTGACCCTCGCTACCGCATGCCAACATATCCAGAAAAGGATCCCCCGCCGGCGCGAAGCCGCGCCGAAGTCGAGAAGCTGCTGACCGGCTCTCAGAAGCCCGTCGAAGTGAAGCCGCTTAAGGTGCTGCTCGTTGCCGGGCCCAAGGACCATTCAACGGGCGAGCACGACTACCCCGCATGGCAGAAGGTGTGGAACCCGCTGCTCTCACGGAACGACTGGACTGTCGTGACCGACGCGTGGGAGTTTCCGACCGAACAGCAGGCCGTTGATGCGGACGTGATGGTCTTCTACCAGCGGGGCCGCTGGAATGATGACCGGGCCCGCGTTATCGACCAGTTCCTCGCTCGTGGCGGCGGATTGGTTTACATCCACTGGGCCGTGGACGGTCAAGGCGGCGAGGCGGAGTTTGCCAAGCGGATTGGGCTGGCAAGCAAGGGCGGTAGCATCAGCTTTCGCCACGGCCCGCTGCACGTCGACTTTTCCCCCGGCGCGAACCACCCAATCGCCCGCAATCTTGACACGGTGGGCTTTGTCGACGAGGCCTACTGGCGCCTCACCGGAAACCCGCGGGACCTGACGCTAATTGGCACGTCGGAGGAGGAGGGCGATCCGCAGCCGCTGTTCTGGACGGTGGAGCGGGGCAGGGGCCGGGTATTTGTCTCGATCCCGGGCCACTACATGTGGACCTTCGACGACCCGGCGTTCCGGACGCTGCTGCTCCGAGGCATCGCCTGGACGGGGAGGGCGAGTGTGGACCGCTTCAACGAGCTCGTGACGCTCGATGCGCGGATCGCGGACTAGCGTCAACTCTCAGCCGGCTAGTGGATGGACATCGCGTCGCCCGCAAAGGCGATGTGAGGGTCGTGCCGGTAGAAGTGGCGGGCGATTGCGCCGGACAAGATGTCGACGTATTGTCGTTGGAAGGCCTGCACGCTGCGTTCCTGGACGGGGACCCCGCCGTGCTCGGGGAAGAGGAACTCACCCATCTCGCGGTCCCACAATCGGCGGCCGTTGTCGTGCATGTCGTGCACGGTGATGGTGATCTCCGACGTCCCCTGGTACAGCGTCTTGCCACTGTAGAGCTCGAAGTGGTCGAGTTCAATGTGCACTACACGGTCGGCGTTCACCGCCTTGCCAAGCGCCTTGTAGTCATCGGAGTCGTTCTCATCAATCCACTCGTCGACCTCTTGCGGGTGGACGATGTCGATCTTCGGAACGTTCTTCTCCAGCAGGTTGCTAACCCGCTTGGCGATGTCGCGGGCCGCGCCGGCGTGACTGAATGTGGACGATGACGGCGGGCGGCAGAACACCACCACGCGTTGCTGTTCCAGGCCATCATACTGGGCGTCGACCATGTTGCCCCCTTCCCAGAAATAGACGCCCGACGCCAGCAGCATCGGGCACCCGGCAGACGGGAGCAGGCACAGGACCGCCAGCAGCAGCGAGAGCCAGCTGGAGCAAACATGATTGGTGGACTGGGGTGGCATCGCCAACCTCGTGAGCTTAGGGGGACTTCTGTAGCGGGGGGAGCATAGGGGGCGCCGCTCCCCCGGGCAAGAGGAGTCGTCGCCGGCGCCAGCACCGGGCTCTGTGGGCAAGGGCAAGGCGAAGCACGCCGCCAACCGGCGCGGGCGGCGGCACAAAAAAAGCCCCGCGGGAACGCTCCCGCAGGGCTTTAGATTCTTAGCTCAACAACGTCGTGCTAGGCCGCGTCCGCTGAGGACGACTTCTTCCCCTTGGCGGCTGGGTCGGGCGAAACGCCGACCATCGCCAGAAGCGCCGGGCAGGCCACGAAGATGGTGCTGTACGTGCCCACAATCACGCCCACGACTAGAGCAAAGGCGAAGCTGTGGATGCCGGGGCCACCGAACGCGTACAGCAGGATCACCACGATCAGCGTCGTGACGGAGGTCAGCAGCGTCCGGCTGAGCGTCTGGTTGATGCTTGCATTAACCATGTCGACAGTCAGGTTGGGGCTCTTGCCTCGCACCTCGCGGATGCGGTCGAAGATGACGATCGTGTCGTTCAGCGAGTAGCCGATGATTGTCAAGAACGCGGCGACCAGCGTCAGGCTGACCTGGAAGGAATCGATCTGCAGTGCCGACGCCAGGCCGGGGACCATCTCGACCACGTAGGCGGACACGGCAACCGCGCCCAGGGTAACTAGCACGTCGTGCACCAGCGCGACCACCGCCGCCAAGCCGAAGGCGATGTTCTGGAACCGGAACCAGATGTAGGCAATGATGCCCAGCAGACTCACCACAATCGCCTGGATCGCTTTGCGCTGCATGCCGCCCGCTACCTTGCCGCCGATCTTATTGGCCAGCGGGAAGATCGGCTGATCGGCAAGGTCCGACTGAAGCTGTTCGGCGACCGCCAGCGTCTGCTCGGCGTCTTGCCCTTGCAGTTTCAGCGTCCACGTCTTGTATCGCAGGTTGCTGTCCTCGACGTGATCGGGGTTCTCCAGCACCGGGTCGATCTTGGCGCCCATTTGCTCGAGAATGGCCTTCACTCGCTCCACAAGCGACGCGTGCGAGAAGCCATCGTCGGCCGTGTACGCCTCGCCCTCGTTGAAGGTTAGCTCGACCTGCGAACCGTCAAAATCACCCTCGGTGTAGCTCTCGACCTTGCCGATCTCGACCGAGTTCTTCAGCAGCTCGTCACCGAAGGCGTCGGCCAGCATCTTCTTGACGGCTTCAACGTCATCGATGCTGGTGCGGACCGTGAACCGCTTGCCGTCCACACCACGCTCCGTGACCGTCAGGTTCTTGTCGCCGAGCGTCGTGGCCTCGTCCTCTTTAATCTTGATTCCGGCAATGCGCCCGCGGACTTCGGTCACGTCCATGTCCACCCCGTCGGCCAGCACCTGCGTGACGCTGGTTCCTCCGGTGAAGTCGATGTCGAGGATGCCGTCGCCGCGTCCAAACACGCTGAACAGGCCGATGGCGATAATCACCACCGACAGCACCGCCGCCAACCCCCGCTTGCCGATGAAATCAAAGTTGGTGGCGCCAACGATCTGCGAGAAGCTAAGCGTCTTGATCCACCGCTTCCGCTCCGCGATGTCGAACACCACCCGCGAGCAGAAGATCGCAGAGTACATGCTCATCAGGATGCCTAGAATCAGCGTCACGGCAAAGCCGCGGATCTGGTCGGTGCCGATGGCGTACAGCACGACGCCCGTGATCAGCGTCGTGACGTTGGCGTCCACGATGGTTGTGGTGGCGCGGTCGAAGCCGTTGCGGATCGCCATCCGCAACGCGGCGCCCCGGGCCATTTCCTCCCGGATGCGTTCGAAGATCAGCACGTTCGCGTCGACGCTCATGCCGACCGTCAGCACCAGGCCGGCCAATCCGGGCAGTGTGAACGCTGCGCCGAACAGGACCATCAGAGCCAGCACCAGAAGCAAGTTGATGGCCAGCGCCAGGCAGGCCACCAATCCGGCGAAACGGTAGTACAGCACGATGAAGATCAGCACGGCAATGAGCGACACCGTGATCGCGTAGCTGCCCTGCTTGATGGTCTGCTCGCCGATCGTGGCGCTGATGGTCTCTTCGCTGATGGGCGTTTTGTTGAGGGCCGCCGGCAGGCTGCCCGCGTCCAGCACCGCGACGACGCGATCGACGTCGTCCTTGGTCATGGCCCCGCCAGAGATCTGGCCATTGTTGGTGATCCGCGACCGGATGCCGGGAGCCGAGATCAGCTCCTCGTCCAGCATGATGCCGAGCGCCCGCTGCTCGCCCGAGGCGTTGGGCAGGTTGTCGCCGGTCAGGCGGCCGAAGCGTGCGCTGCCCGCCGCGTCGAAGCGGAAGCTCACCGCGGGGCGGCCGGTCTCGTCGATGTCGGATCGGGCGCTGGTCAGGTACTCTCCGGTGACGTTCAGTGGGTCGATCAACACCAGGGCCTCGCGTCGGGACCCCGCCTCGCGGGTGACCAGCCGGCCCTCGCCGGTTCCGAACTCACGCTCGTCAAATTTGACCCAGCGTCCACGTTCCTGGCCGCCGATTTCAACGCTTTTTTGACTGGGGGGAAGCTGCCGGGCAGCCTCGATAATGGGGCGGTCGGCCGGCCAGCGGTCGCTGGCCGTGATGCGGAATTCCAGCTCGCCGAGGTCGGTCAGCATCCGCTTGACGTGGTTCAGCTCGTCCTGCGACGAGGCGTGCGGAACGATCACCTCGATGTCGTCGCCGTAGGAGCGGATCGCCACCTCCTTGGTGCCGGCCGGGTCGACCCGCATCTTCAGGGCGTTGATTACCTGGTCGATCTCGACCTTCTGCTTGCCCTCGCCATCGGCATCCAGGTCTTGATTAGCGGTTTCCCCGTCGATGATGCGGTCCTTGTCCGCAATCTCGTAGACCAGCGTGGTGCCGCCGCTCAGGTCGGTTCCGCCCTTGAATTGCCCGGTAGTAACAATCAGGACACCAATAGCGACCGAGGCCAGGACCAGGCTGATCTTCCACCCGTGGTCCGGCATTTTAAGCCTGCCGGCAAGCCAGTTGCCAAACACCACCGGAATCACCAGCACGGCGAGAATGAGGATCGCGTTGGCCCAATCAAAGCCCGTCGCCGCCTCCCCGTCAGCGACGGCGTCCTGCGCGGCAGTCGTTTCTTCGCCGGCAGCTTCAGTCGCGGTTTCGTCGGCCGCGGTGGCGTCTTCCGACGAAGGGTCAACCGTTGGCTCAGCGGCCTCGTCGGTTCCCGTCGTAGCCTCGTCAGCTTGCGAACCGTCCGCAGAGGCTTCTTCGGATGCCGAGGCGTCGTCCTCTTCGGCTTCAGCGGGCGCTTCGTCAGCGGGCGCCACTTCGGCCGTGGTGGCCTGATCGCCCTCCTGGGCGAGCGCTGCCTGCGGGACCGTAGACGACATCAGCAGGGCAGCCAGCATGCATGCTAGCAGCCCGGCCTGGGCGAGGAGGGAAAAACGAAAAGCTGGCTTCGTGTGTCGCATTTTCGAATTCGAATGAGTGCCTGAGAGGGGAAGAAGGCCGATCAGCGGAGGCGGTAACGCCTCGGTCGGCCGTTTATTTCTTGCTGTCCTTGGCGGACGGCGGCGGGCCGCCCGACTTGTCATCCGTGATTACGTCAGAGATGGCCCAGGTCGCGATGCGGATTTTCGTGCCGTTGGTCTCGTCAATGCGGATGGTGACCCGGTCCTGGTCACGCTGGATGTTGGTGACCACCCCAAAGATGCCGGCGGAAGTCAGGACATGGTCCTTTTCCTTTAGATTGGCGATCATTTCGCGGTACGCCCGGTCCTTTTTCTGCTGCGGCAGCACGAACAGGGCGTACCCCAGCCCCATAAGGAGCACCAATGGCAGCATCGACACCAAACCGCTACCGCCCTGGGCCAGGCAAATCAGAGCAACCGAAATCGATGAATCTAGGGGCACGCGTCCGCAGCGGATTGGAGTCGAAAGGGACCGTGGACGCCCCGTCGGTGGACGCCGAAGCCCGCATCATAAAGTCAAGCGGCGCAAGGGGGAAGGGGAGATAGCGGTGATGCCGTCTGCGGCGGTCCGCGGGCGTCACAGGCGGGAAGAGGCAGGAGATTGCCCGCGGCTGTCGACCGGTTGGCAAGCCGGCCGGAGCACGAAAAAAGCCGGAGAACTGAGGCTCTCCGGCTTGAGTGGCGGTCGAATTGAGTCGGGTGGTGTCACCCGCCAGCAACGGCGTGTTCCTTCTCGAGGTATTTCCGCCAGCCTTCGTACCCCTCCGTCAGTTCCAATACCTGCTTTATGCCCGCATCGTCGAGCTTCTTCGCGGCCTTGATTGACGAATCACACTCCTCGCTAGCGCAGTACACCACGACGGCCTTGTCGTGGTCGTCCAGCTTGCTCTTCACTCGGTCTACAAAATCCGGTTGGTCCTGAGGGATATTTACAGAACCGTGGATTGCCGTCTTGCTGAACGAGGATTCGGGGAGTGTGTTAACGAGAAGCAGATCTTCGTGATTGCGTTGCAAATCGATCAGGTGCTCTGGCGTTATTTGTTGCATGTCAGTGCTCCTTCTCTGGATTTCTGTTGATCCGATACGAGCCTAGGCGGCTAGTACAGTGAAGAAGCAGCAAATCTCGTTCCGCCGCGTCTTCGTCGGGAACATCGTGTTGGCTCACACCAGACGCGACGGGGTCGGGCCCAGTTCGCTTGCCGCTCGGTCAAACCGGTTGGATCTACGGCAGGCGCACGCTGCAAGTTGGTGCGGAATTGCTAGTGGCTCGAACTGGGCCCCGTTGTTGTGCTAGGTGGGTGGGTTGGGTGCAATCATGCAGGCTGTAGCGTTTGGATGGGCGCCATCATGCGGGGATGATTATATGGGCCCATCCGACTGCCCTGCGAACCGGCCGAGCGGACGATAAAAGGGAATGGCGGCCGATGCGGTCGCCGGCTGAGTGGTTCGCGGTACGAGTTAGTCGCAGGGAGGCGGCCGATATGACATATGCCCAGGTAGCCGCACGCGCGGTGCTAATACTTTCGTTGCTGATCACCCCCGCGGTGTTGGGGCAGGGCGGAACGCCATCGCCCGACTGGAACGCCTACTGTGCGCCGTGTGGCGTGGAGTCGGGGTACAGCACCTGTGGCCCCGCTTACGGCGCATCGCTGACCGACTGCAGCTCGGCGCAGGACCCAGCTTCCTGCTACCCCGCCGCGGATTGCGGGGCGTACGCCTGCGCGGCTCCCCCCTCAGTGGTCTGGTCGCTGGCGGTCGGCGGCCTCTACCTAGAGCGCGACCACGGCAACAACTACACGTTCTCTTACGACGACCCCAACGAGGACCTGCAGTACCTTAACCAGCGCGAAGCCGATTTCGGGTGGGCGCCAGGGTTCGAGGCGCGCCTCGCCCGCTACGACCCCTGCTGCAACACCGGCGCCGAGCTCATCTATTGGCAGCTGTTCCCATCGGACGAGGAGGCGACCGTGCTCGGGTCGGACCTGGCCGGCAACCTCAGCGCGATCCTTAATTACAATCAGCTCGACTACAACGGGGTCACGGCCGACAACTACACGAACAACGCCTTCGCCCACCGGCTGCGGAGGGAGATGAACGTCTACAACGTCGAGGCGAACCACGCGCTGGTGCTGTGCGACCCGTGCCGTTCCGGCGTGACGGTCAGCTCGTTGATTGGTTTCCGCCTGTTCCGCTTTGACGAGAGCCTGCAGTTCGCGTCGGACCCGAACGACGCGATGTTCACCGGCGAGGTTGACGAGCTCTACTACGACATCGACGTCAGCAACCTGCTGGTCGGTTGCCAGGTTGGCGGCGGCGTCTGCCGACCGATGACTCAGCGGTTCAGCCTTACCGCACTCGCCAAGGCGGGCGTCTACGGCAATTTCAGCGAGTCGACATCACGGATCGCTGGCGCCGCCGGGACCGCCACCATCAACAACGGTCCCAACAACGGCGCCACTTGGCTGGTGAGCAACGACAAGACCGATGTCGCGATGATGGCTGAGATGGCTTTGGGCGTCGCCTACCAGCCAACGGTCCGCTGGCGGCTGACGGCGGACTACCGGGTGATTGGCGTGTCGGGAGTGGCGTTGCCGACCAACCAGATCTATTCCGACCTCCGTGGAATCAACGATGTCCAGCTTCTGCAGTCCAACGGGCACATGATCCTGCACGGCGGTTACCTGGGCGTCGAACGGACATTCTGAGCTCGACCGTGCGGACGCCGGAAGCTGCTGGTTTTCCCGTCCCTCGCGGGCGGGTATCATAGGGGGCGGCCGCCCTGGCCACAGCAGTCTCCTCGCGAGCGGCGTTCCGTCACGGAAAGGCTCTTATCATGTCTGAGCGTTCTGAGTTTGACCGCAGAAAGTTCCTGGGCGCTTCGGCCAGCCTGGCCGCTGGCATGGCGGCGTCACACTCTGCTGGCGCCGAGCAGTCAACCCAGACGGACCAACCTCTGGACCCTCCGCCCGGCGTCGTCCCGGCGCCGCCACAGATCGCCCTCGGCGACACCGGCGTCAAGATGTCCCGGCTGGGGCAGGGCACCGGCGTGCACGGCGGCAATCGGCAGTCCGACCAGACCCGCATGGGTTTCCAGGACATTGTCGCTCTGTTCCACCACGCCTACGACCGAGGCATCACGTTCTTCGACTTAGCCGACCTGTACGGCACCCACATTTATTTCCGGGAAGCGCTCCGCACCATCCCGCGTGAGAAGATCGCGATCCTCTCCAAGATTTGGTGGCGTTACGACGGCCCAGAAGAAAACACCTCGGACAAGGAACGGGCCCAGGACACCCGCGCAACGCTCGAACGCTTCCGCCACGAACTCACGACCGACTACCTCGACATCGTTCTGCTGCACTGCCTGATGGACGGCGGCTGGCGTGGCAAGATGAACCCGTACATGGACGTCATGAACGAGGAGAAGGAAAAGGGGCGCATCAAGGCGGTCGGCGTCTCGTGCCATGACTTCGCAGCGCTTAAGGCCGCCGCCGCCGAGCCGTGGGTCGACGTCATCCTTGCCCGGGTGAACCCCAAGGGCGTAAAGATGGACGCCTCGCCGGACGAGGTGATCGCCGTGCTGCGGCAGGCCAAGGCCGCCGGCAAGGCGATCATCGGAATGAAGATCTTCGGCGAGGGTCAACTAGCCGACCAACGCGAAGACTGCATCAAGTTCGCCCAAGGGCATGACTTCATGGACGCCATGACGATCGGCTTCGAGAAGCCCGCGCAGATCGACGAGGTGCTGCGGCTGATGGCCAAGTACCCGTCGCAGGCCAACGGCTAGCGCCTCTCGCCGCGGCTCACTCCGGCGCCTTCTCACTCAACTCCTTGATTGGCGTTAGCTCCAGCTTGCGGAACTCAACTTCGGAACGCTCCGCCTGCACGGCGATCTGCCCCTTGCTGGCGGTGCAGTCGTGTCCGTGGTTGACCAGCTGGCCGTTGACCCACACCTTGATCTGATCTCCGAGGCACTCGATCACCATCCGGTTCCACTCGCCAGGCGGCTTCTCGGCGCCGTCGGTCAGGTTGGTGATCCGCCGCGCATCGCCTTTCTTACCGCCCCACTTCTCCTTGGGCCCGCGTCGCTTGACCATGTTCGGCACCGTGATGTCCTCGTGGATGCACCAGAAGTCGCCGGCGTTCTCGTGCAGCATCTGCACCTCGAGCGACTGCGGGAACATCCCGAACAACGCCCGCGGCTTCGACGCGTGCACCAGCACGCCGCAGTTGCCCGGCTTGCCGGCGAAGCGGTACTCGGCCACCAGCCGGTAGTCGCCGTAGGGCTTGTCGGTGATCAGGTGCCCGCCTGGCGTGCCGAGGCTCACGAGCATCCCCTCGCGGACAATAAACGGCTTGCGTGCGGCGGGGTTCTTGTCGAGCTCCGGCACATCCATATGCCAGCCGGTCAGGTCGTGTCCATTGAATAGGTTGTGGGGCTTCGCCGGCTCGACGGCGCTCCCCCGAGCAGCGACGAACAGGATCGAGCAGGCAAAGAACAGCAAACACGAGCGGGAGTGGGATATCATCGTTGTCTTTCCTGTACGGGTGAACCGAGTAGCCAACGTCACTATCATAGCCGTATATGTGCCCGAGTTGACAAGACGCGGAGTCGGGCGGGGCGAACCGCTGCCCCCCGCGCAGCTACGTCCAAAGTGTTTCCTCCGTTCCTGGACCATTCAATGCGAATCCGTTACGTTCTCTTGCTTGGTTTGTTTGTTGCGACTTCGCCCCCCGCGGCGGCAATTGACGCAGATTCACGCCTTGAGTTGTGGACGCTCGACGACCGCTCCGCTCCGCCCGCGGAGCAGACGCTAGCCGCCACACTGCAGGGGCAACTTGCTAAGCGTGGCGTCCTGGTCTGGCGCCGCGAGGGCGTCCGTTCGAATCTCTTGATGCTCGAACGCCTGGCGGAGCAGGGCGCGCTCGTCCGCCCGGTTGCTGACGTTTGGCAGCTGCTTGAAAAGCACCACCCCAAACTGCAGGGCTACGTGTTGTTTCAGGAAGGGGACAGCAGCATCAACGTCGCCACCTCGTTGTGTGGGCCGCTCGGTGCGGTCGCGGTGGAACAATCCCTCGAGCCGCGGGCGCGCCGAGCGGGCCTGGGCCAGGTTGGCGACGCTCGCGGCAAGGACTCGGCCGCCGTCTTGCGAGAGCACGCGAAGGATTTTTCGGATCGGGTGGTCGTGGTGCTCGATGAACAAATTGCCGGCCGCCTCCGCGACTGGGCGGTTAGTGAGGACGCGTTCTGTTTCTATGGTCTCCCGCCGCGGCAACGCCGCGAGACACTCCGCCGGCTGAGCTCGTCGCCTACGGTGTACGGCTGGGAGGGCGAGCTCGAGTTTGTCCGTGACGTGAGCCGCGTCGGCGGCATGGTGGTCCCGGCCGACTATTGTCTGAACTTGTCCGTGCTCTCCCGGCTGCCCAGCGAGCTCAAGCGACCGCCGGCTTTGCCGGCGGCCCCAGTCAAACGCGGCGAGCGGGTTGTCGCTTTTGTGATGACCGACGGCGACAACCTGCAGTTTATGTCGCGTGGCTTTGCCACCAGCCGAGGATTCTGGGCGAGCCCGCACCGTGGCGAGTTCCCGATGACCTGGGAGCTGCCACCGATAGCGTCGGAGGTTGCCCCCCAGGTGCTGCGCTACTTCTACGACACCGCGTCCCCGCTTGATGGGTTCGTGACCGGGCCTAGCGGCGCGGGGTACATCTTCCCTCACGATCATCCTGACCTCGCTTCGTTCGCCACCCGCACGGCCGACGCCATGACCAAGTGCGGGCTGTCGGTCGCGACCGTCCTGAACGCCGGCGGCGCCATGGAAGAAGCCAAGCCGCTGCTCGCCCGACCTGAGGTGCAAGGGGTGATCTACAAGGGTTGGGACTACGCCTCGGAACGGGGGCGTATCGTGTGGGATCAGGGCAAGCCGATCGCCTCCTACCGCTATGTGCTCTGGGACGGGGAGCGCGCAAAAAGCCCCCGGGGCGTCGCCGAATCGATCGCCCGGCTTCCTGCCGATCCACTCCATGATCAAAACAGCTACGCCTTGGTGAATGTTCACGCGTGGTCGTTCCGTGACATCGGCGGACCGATGGAGGCTGTCCACCGCTGTGTCCAGCACCTGCCGGCCGGAACACGAGTTGTGACCGCCGAGCAGCTGCTGTCGCTGCTGCGAGACAACTTCGGCAGCCCGACCGCGGAGCCATAGTGGAGAGCGGCGAATATCTGTCCGAATCGATTTTGTTTTGGCCCCTTTATCGAACATCGATCCTTAGGGACAAAACTCTGCTTGGGCGAGAGCGGAAGAATGGCATTCCGCCTGTAAAAATAGGGGTAAACGGCCGCCGACCCGTTCGGCGGGCGGTGAGTTTTGTCCACTCTTGCGCCATGTAAGGGACAGAAAGGGACACAACCGGCAGCACATAAAAATACCGCGGCCAGGGAGCTGTGTGGGAGCAAGAATGTGTCGGCAGACTTCGGCCAGCACATTCATTGGATCACACCCAGTGGCCATTTGCGACCGAAAACGTGGCTGCCAGCCAGTCAAACAAGCGGCACGCCGGCGTCCAGCAGCCGCTGCTTCAGCACGGCGGCCACCCCATCGGGTTCCGGACCCAGGTCGATGCGGAACTGCCGCTGGTCGACCGTGTGCTCCGTGGTGTACAGCAGCACGGCCTCACGGCTTCCCACGCGGGCGGCGTCGATGCGAGACCACTTCAACAACCGCGAACGCACCAGGCCGTGAATGCTGACGCCGTCGCCCGTCATCGCGTAGCGGACCGGCAGCAGGTGGTTGGCCAGTGTCGCGAGCAGCAGCGCGAAAGCCAGCAGACCGCACGCAACGCTCCACAGCGTCACGCCCGCGGTGATGGCGGCGGCGGTGACCACCGTCAGCAACGCGGCGGTGCGCAGCGGCTTTTCGCCAGCGTCCCAGCGTGACCAGCCGAACTCTCCCACCACGCCGGTGGGGTCGTCCGGCGGCGGGCCGGCGTCTTTGCTGGCGGCGGGCATGGGCGTCACGGTGTGGGCATCACGGTGTGGGCAGCAGGTCGCGGACGATGGCGGTCATCGCCCTGATGCCCGTGGACAGCGACGCCTCGGGGTCGGGGTAGAACTTAGACGAGTGGAGCGAAGGGGGCTGCGAGCCGGCCCGGGCATACTCATCCAGTCGCTCCTGCGGGATGGTCCCCAGCTTGAACATGCAGATCGGCACGCCCGCGATGCCGTACCGGCTGAAGTCCTCGCCGCCCATGGTCGGCTTGGAGGGCTGCATGTTTTCGGCGCCGATGGCGCCGCCCACGGCCTCCGCGACACGACCGGTCAACTCGGGGTCGTTGTACAGCGAGGGCGTGCCTTCGGAGATGTCGACCTCCGGTTCGGGGGCGCCGGCGCTCTGGGCCGCGGCGTTCGCCTTGCGGCGGATCGCCTCGCCGATCTGCTTGCGGACCTGCGGCGAGTAGCTCCGCACGGTGAGCTGCAGCTTGCACTCATCGCCAATGATGTTGTGCTTGGTGCCGCCGTGGATCGAGCCGACGGTGACCACGGCCGGCTCGATCGGGTCGATCTCACGGCTGACGATGGTCTGCAGGTCGAGCACCAGCTTGGCCGCGATGACAATCGGGTCGGCGGTGGCGTGCGGGTAGGCCCCGTGCCCGCCGCGGCCTTTGACGGTGATATCGACGCTGTCGACGTTGGCCTGGGAATAGCCGCTGAGGTAGCCCGCTTGGCCGGCCGGGTAGTCGGCCGCCACGTGCAACGCCACCGCGTAGTCGGGGCGCGGGAAGCGGGCGAACAGCCCGTCGGCCAGCATCGCCTTGGCGCCGGCCCCGCGTTCTTCGGCGGGCTGGGCGATGAACACGATCGTGCCGGACCAAGCGTCCTTGCTGGCCGCGGCCCAGCGGACCACGCCCGTCATGTTGGCCATGTGGATGTCGTGCCCGCAGGCGTGCATCACGCCCACCACGGCGCCCAGCTTGTCGGTGGCGCGGACCTGGCTGGCGTAGGGGACGCCGGTCTCTTCAATGACGGGCAACGCGTCGGTGTCGCAGCGGAGCAGGAGGGTCTCGCCCGGCCCGTTCTTGAGCACGCCCACCACGCCGTGCCCGCCGACGCCGGTCGTCACCTCGACGCCTGCTGCTCGCCACACCTTGGCCAGCCGCGCGGCGGTCTGCTCTTCCTCGTACGACAGCTCGGGCGTTTGGTGGAGCTGCTTGTAGAGCTCAACCACTCCGGGCAGGTTCTGGTCGAGCCAGCCGTCGATCTCGGCGGCGCGGGAGGTCGGAGCGGCACCCAGCAGGGCGCACGTCAGCAGGCGGGCGGCAAGGTTGTTCATGGTGTTGTGGTTTCCCAGGCGCCCGCCACCGCGGGTGGTCGGGGCGGCGTTACGCGGTGATTTCGTGACGTTCCAAAAAGTCGGCGGGGATCTCGGCCGTCTTCTGAGCCACCAACGCGAAATAATACAGCGGCGTCCCCTCCATCGACAATCGGTGGCGGTACCGTTCCAGGTGGTGCAGGTCGAGGTACTCCGAAAAGATTAGCTCCCGGATAAACCGTGAGAAGCCCGACTGGTCGGCCCGGTCGAGAAAGGTCTCTTTAATGTTGAACGCCACCCAGCCGCCCACCTCGACGAACCGCATCGCCTGAAAGAATGCGGCGGCGGGGATGTCGCCGAAACCAAGGGCCGCCACGCTGGTCAGGCAGTCGATCGACCAGCCGGACAGCTCGTCAATCTGGTCGGGCGACAGGTCGGTGAAGTCCGCCACGTAGTAGTCGTCGTACACGCTGGGGCGGTCGCGGAGGCACGCCTCGCGGGCCTCTGGGATGATGTCCGCGCCGATCAGCCGGGCCACCCCGTGCCGTTTGAGAACCTCGCCCATCATCCCGTTGCCGGCGCCCAGGTCCAGCACCCGCAGTTCGCTGATGCTCTTGCCGGCCGCGTCGAGGGCCTGCTTCAATTCCTCGCCGACCTTCTTGGGCGACGTGCACTTGAGCCGGTCGTAGAACACCTGCTCGTAGAGTCCCTGCCGCGGGTAGATCTTGTCGTAGTCGTGGAATCGCAGCCGCGTCTTCTTGTCCTGCTCGAGGACAAAAAAGCTGACCTCGTCCTGCTCAAGGTGGTGGGCGTCGCTGGGGGGGAACTGGATGCGGTAGCGGTGGGACATGGGATCCTAGGGGTGGACGAAACACGGTTCAGTCCCTTTACCTTAGGGCAATTGCCATGGCGAGGCCACCATGCCAGCAGCTGCGCGGTCCGTCGGGGCTAGCTGAGGAGTTCGCGCACGACCACCGGCAGGATTGACCGCATTGCCCGCGAGCGGTGGCTGATCGCCTTCTTGACCGAAGGCCCCAGCTCGCCAAAGGTGCGGTGCAGCTCGCGGATCTCGAACAGCGGGTCGTATCCGAACCCGTTGGCGCCACGCGGCTTGTCGACGATCACGCCGCGGCAGACATCGCACGCCTCGCCGCGGATCTCTCCGGCTGGGTCCGCCAGCGTGATGTGGCAGTAGTACTGCGCGCCGCGTTTCTGCGGCGGCAGCCCGGACAGCTTCTCCAGCAGCAAACGGTTGTTGGCCGCGTCATCGCACTCGGGGCCGGCGAAGCGTGCGGAGAAGACACCGGGCTCGCCTTGGAGCGCGTCGACCTGGATGCCGCTGTCGTCGGCCAGCACCCACTTCCCCAGGTGTTTCGCCTGCTGCACGGCCTTGAGCCGGGCGTTGTCGCCGAAGGTCAAACCGTCCTCCACGACTTCAATCGCGGTGGGGAAATCGGCCAGCGTCTGCACCCGCACGCCGTGCGGAGCGAGGGCGTCGGCGAGCTCGTCGCCCTTCTTGGCGTTGTGGGTGCCGATGACAAGGGGGGGAGACGGCATGGCGATGGTCTCGGGGGTCAGGCGGGACGATCCTGTGCTTCGTCCGTGGTCTTGCTCTTTGGCTGGCGTTGCCCATCAGCCGTGGCGGGGCTCTCCTTGCTGCCGCCTGCGACCGGCTCCTCGCCCTGCGACTCTCGTTCCAGGCGTTCGAGCTCGCGGTCAACGCGCTCGACCCGTTTGCGGTACACCATGTAGCCGACACCAATCAGCACCGCGACCACCATGACCGTAGCCAGTTTTTCTGCGTCTTGTATGACCGGCTCGATCCAGGGCCCGAACAGGTAGCCCAGGCCGAATACGATGCCCACGACCAGTGTTGCGGCGATTAGGTCCCACAGCAGGAACCTCAAGTAAGGCACCCTGGCGGCGCCGGCGGCGAAGTAAACGGCGCCACGGATGCCGATCAGAAACCGCGTCCCCAGCAGGATCTTGAACCCGTGGTTTTGGATCACGTGCTCTATCTTCTCTTCTTCTTCGGCGTTGATGAAGCGAGAGATCAGCGGGTGTCGGAGCAGGAAGCCGTGCCCCAGGTGCCGGCCGATTGCGTACATCAGCGAGTCGCCTAGCAGTGCGCCCATCAGGCACGCCCCGAAGGCAACTGCCGGGTCGAAGTGTCCCTTGCTGCTGAGCACCCCCGCCAGCACCAGGGGGGCTTCTTCAGGGATGGGCACACCCACGCCAGTCAGCACCAGGAATGCGACAATCCCCCACAGGCCCACGCTATCTACTAAGAAATCAAGCAGCATCCGTCTGGGGGGTCGCGGGCTGGTGGGCGCCTGGGTGGGGCCGATGGCCGGAGAGGGAAACCGAGCGTTACGCCGCTGTGGGCAATCCGGCATTGTAGCCGCTGCCCGCCCGATCTGTTACCGGTCAGCCGACGGGAATCTGCGGCCCGCCGTGGGGACCCGCGTGAGGGACGTCGGGCCCAGCTGGCTCCACGTCGCTAGGCTACACGTGGCTGAGAAGCCGCCACTGGTCCGCCGGCAGGTTGATTGTCTCAATCTGCACGCTGTTGGCGTGCTTGCCGGGCAGCACAAACGCCGCCCCGACGCCTGGATGGGCGTTGCAATACTTGCGGGCCGCCTCCGGGCCCATCACATAGAACGCAGTGGAGAGGGCGTCCGCCTCGGTGCCGGTGGGGGCAATCACACTTACGCTATGCGGCCCGCTGGCCGGTCGACCGGTGCGGGCGTCCAGGATGTGCCCATACCGCTGCCCGCCTGAAACGAACCCCTGGGTCGCCGCGCCCGAGGTCGAGAACGCCTGGTTGATGAGTGAAAACTCGGCGATCCGGAGCTGCGGCCGCAGCGGGTGCCGCAGCGCCACACCCCACCCCGGTTTTCCGCCGGGGCGAGCCCCCCGGGCGACCAGCGTGCTCCTCCCGCCGTGCAGCAGGAAGTCGTCGACCAGCTCTAGCTGCATCTGGTCGGCCGCCAGGTCGAGCGCGTAACCCTTGCCGATGCCGTTGAAGTTCACCTCCACGCCTGGCTTCTCGAACGCGACGCTCTGCTCCTTTACGTCGAGCGTTACGCGCCGCCAGCCGACCAGCTCCATCGCCGCCGCGAGCGCGTCGTCATCCGGCACGCGTGGTTCACGCTGGAAGAAACCCCACGCCCGCGACAGCGGCCCCGTGGTCGCGTCGAACGCCCCGCCGGTGTCTTGGTAGAGCCTTTCGCACAGCTCCAGCAGAGCGAACATCCCGGCGTCGGTCTCGGCGGGGCCGTGCTGTGCGGCGCCGTTCAGCAGGCTGATGTCACTAGAGTCGCGGTACACGCTTAGGCGGTCTTCTTGGCGGTCGATCAGGTCGAGCGCGTCGAGGCCGGGTTGGGTTTCGTTCCGGTTGGGGCTGGCGATCAGCTGCACCTGAAAGTCGCAAGCCATGGCTCGCCGGGTGAGCGTCAGCACGCAGTCCGCTAGGCCTGGGTCGGCGTCGTGGTCGGGGTCGGACAGGCCGCCGGTCCCGACACCGGCCAGCGCATCGACGGCCGCCTTGCCCTTCAAGAAATCACGGCGGGAGGAAGAATCTGCCATGCCTGCATTATAGCCGGTCGCTAGGCGTCGGCGGGAAGCCGATAGAGCTCAACCTTGTCTACCGTCGACGGTGTCGCGACGGCGCCCTGCAGCCCGGGGCCGGTCGGCAGCGGATGCACCCAGCACTGGGAGAGGCTGAGCGGGTTCTCTGGCAGCACCACCCGGGCGCCGGCGTCCGCGTTGAGCGGTGTGGTGAATGTCGGCAGCGGGAAGCCCAGCCCGGAGCCGAGCAGCTTGACGACCGCCTCCTTGTTGGTCCAAAAGCGAAAAAACGCCCGGTCCTGTTTGTCGGCCGGTTCGGCCTTGAGTTCTTCGACTTCGGCTGGCGAGAAGTACCGCTCGGCGATGCCGCCCGCCCAGTTGGTGGGGCGCACCGCTTCGACGTCGGCGCCCAGCTCGCCGTCTGACGACAACGCTGCGATCGCCACGCCCGCCGTGTGAGACAAGTTGAACCACAGCCCGCCGCCGAGCTCCTCGGTGAGCGACGGCTTGCCCATCCCGTGGTAGTGGAAGGCGAGCTCGTCTGGCCGATGGTCCGTAGCACGCCCCAGCAAACGCCGCAGCCCGCCCCGCGCCGCGACAAAGTGGCGGCGGTCCTGCTCGAAATGGAACCGGTCGGCGCGCTCGCGTTCGTCAGCTGAGAGCAGTCGCTCGTCGTCGGGGAAGCCGGCTTCGAGCGACCACATCCACACCCGCACCGAGCCCGACGCAAGCGGCGCGGCAGGGTCGCCCGGTGGCCAGTTGGGCAGGTCGTCTGGCGAGAGGGGTGGGCGCCTGGCCATAAAAAATAGCCCTCCCCCATCGGGGGAGGGCGTCATCGTCTTGCGTTAACCGCGGCGGACCGTTGCCCACCGCTGACGACCACCGCCGCCTTAAACTTCCTTTTCTTCAATCCAGCTCATCAAGCGACGCAGCTGCTGGCCGGTCTTCTCGATCGGCAGGTTGCGCTCGCGGCGGCGGGTCGCCTTGAAGCCCGGGGCGCCGGCCTTGTTCTCCAGCATCCAGTTGCGGGCGAAGGTGCCGTTCTGGATCTCCTCGAGCACCTTCTTCATCTCGGCCTTGGTCTCGTCGGTGATAATCCGCGGGCCGGTGGAGTAGTCGCCATACTCGGCGGTGTTGCTCACGCTGTACCGCATGTAGTTGAGGCCGCCCTGGTAGAACAGGTCGACGATCAGCTTCACCTCGTGCATGCACTCGAAGTAGGCCATCTCGGGCTGGTAGCCGGCCTCGACCAGTGTGTCGAAGCCCGCCTTGATCAGCTCGCTGAGGCCGCCGCACAGTACGGCCTGCTCGCCGAACAGGTCGGTCTCGGTCTCTTCGGCAAACGAGGTGCGGATGACGCCGGCCCGGGCGCCGCCCAGGCCCTTGGCGTAGGCCAGGCCGATCTGGAAGGTGTCGTCCGACGCGTCGTCCTCAAGGGCGATCAGGCAGGGGACGCCGCCGCCGGCGGTGAACTCGCTGCGGACCAGGTGCCCCGGGCCCTTGGGGGCGACCAGCAGGGTCTCGACACCCTTGGGCGGCTCGATCAGGCCGAAGTGGATGTTGAAGCCGTGCGAGCACATCAGCACATTGCCCTTAGACAGGTTGGGCGCAATGTCGCTCTTGTAGACGTCGGCCTGAACCTCGTCCGGCAGCAGGATGTTGATAACGTCGGCCGCCTTGGCGGCGTCGGCCGCGCTCATCGGCTCGAAGCCGTGGCTCTTGGCGAGGTCGTAATTCTCGCCGCCCGGACGCTGACCCACGACAACCTTGACGCCGCTGTCACGCAGGTTCTGCGCGTGGGCGTGGCCCTGCGAGCCGTAGCCGATGATGGCCACGGTCTTGCCTTCAAGGGCCTTCATGTCTGCGTCCGCGTCGTAATAGATCTTTGCGCCCATAGAGTCGAATCCTCTTCAGTCTTGACTGGTAGTTGTGGGGAAAACCACAAAGGCACGAAGGACACGATTGAGCCGAGCACCATCCGTCGGCGTGGAGCCGAGCAGGATCCGTGTCCTTGGTGTCTTTGTGGTTCCTGAGGGGTGAACTAACTGGAAACGCCAACCGCCGCCTTGACGCCCGTGGAGCCCAGCGGACGGTTGACCGACCGCACCATCGCGATGCGCCCCGTGCGGGCGACCTCTAGGATGCCGAACGGCCGCATCATGTCGATGAACGCCTGGATCTTCTTCTCTTGGCCGGCCAGCTCGATCATGATCTCGTCGGGCGCGACATCCACGACGCGGCCGCGGAAGATGTCGGTCAGCTCACGGATCTCGGCCCGCTTGCCGCCCTCGCTGTTGACCTTGATGAGCATCAGGTCACGCTCGACGTGGTCCTGCGAGCTGATGTCGGTCACCTGCACAACGGTGACGATCTTTTCCAACTGCTTGCGGACCTGGTCGAGCACGCTGTCGTCGCCGACCACGACGAAGGTCATCCGCGACAGGTGCGGGTCTTCGGTTTCACCGACAGCCAGGCTGTCGATGTTGTAGCCGCGGGAAGCGAGCATCCCGGCCACGTGGGCCAGCACGCCGGGGACGTTTTGCACCAGAGCGGAAAGGACGTGACGCATTTCAGAACCAGCAGGTTAGGGGGCGGGGCTCGCCAGCAGCGGCGAACCCATGATCTTAGTTGGGGGCCCAATGCCCCGCAACCGCCGGGTTTTCCTCGAAAACGCCGGAGATTTCATGCCCTCGGGACAAACCGGCGGGCAGTGGGGTTCGGTTCGGATTGCTATGCAGCCCGCCGCACTGCGGCTCCGGGCTAAAGACCGCAGCCGCTACGGAGAGTCCAGGAAGCCTCAGTTGACGATAGGGAGCTCCCTGACGGCTACGATTTCAGCCTCCTTACCCAGCCACGCGCATCGTGATGTCCAGCAGCGTCACCAGGTCGAGCGCGTTGTGCCGCCGCACCTGCCGCATCTCGTGGTCCCGGCCGGTGCGGACGTACGCGTCGTACGCCGCCGGGATCAGGCTGCCGGGGATGTCGTCTCCCCGCGGCCGGCGGCAAACGTGGCTCTCGATGGTCTGCAGCTTGCAGTCCGGCAGCACGCCCTTCCACTTCCGCCGGGCGTGGTGCAGCATGTCCACGTGCAGCGGCCGAGCGAGTTCCCGCCGTTTGTGCAGCAGGTGCCGCCGCGAGCGGTCCACCACCATCGGCCAATCGAAGCTCTTGCCGTTGAAGGTCACCAACGCGTCGACCTCCTCAAGACGCCGCCACAGGCTTTCCAGCACGGCCGCCTCTTCGGCGTAGTTGCGGGCGAACAACAGTTCGACGGTTGGCTGGCCATCGACCCACCGCAACAGGCCCACCAAGAACAGCGCCGCGCCCGACAGCCCGCAGGTCTCCAGGTCGAGCAGCGCGGCCCGTTCGGGCATCGCCCGGACCAGCTCGCCGAGCTCGCTGCTGCCCAAACCGCCCGCGCGGTCGAGGGCGGACAAGTGCTCCAGCCGACCGGCCACCAACCCTGGCCCCTTGGGCCACAGCTCACCTAGTGGAATGGAGTGCAGCTCGTGCTCACCGAGATCGTTCTGCACGACGGCGGCGGTTGGGTCGGGCGCGGTTGACGCTGTCGCGCCGGGAGCACGGACTGACGCGGGCGCTCGTTCAGCTACCGGAGTTGGCGCAGCGGGCAGCCGATCGCGGTTGAGGGCTTCCAGGCGTTGGCGGAGCGAGTCGCTGAGCATGCGATCGATTGTACCGCCCCGCCGCCTAACGATGTATGCCGCCTGGCGCGTCGTTGGCGCCGGCCTCTGCACCGAAGGCCGTGGCCGCGACTGAGCGGTGGAAGGACCGCAGCTCTGCTAGCAGGGCCTCGGCTTCTTCCTGCAGCCCCGTCCAGTCCCGACTGGACGGCTCGGCAATCCGTGTTCGGCAGCCGGCCAGCGTCTGCCACAGCATCGCGCGGGTCTGGGTCGCCAGGATCAGGCCTTCGAGCTCTAGCACCCGCGAGCCTGGTGAGTACCCAATGATCCGCCCATTCAGTTTTAGTCGCCCCGCTTTCTCGGCGAGCCAGGCGGCCGTGGCTTTAGTGGTGCTGACCGCGGCGCCGCGGTCGTCCAGCAGCTGCCTGACCATCGCCTCACCCGCCCGGGCAGATCCGAGCTGCCGCCCCGCGACCTCGGCGAGCGCCGATCCCTCGTTCGATCGTTGGACGCGCTGGCACAGTTCACGCTCGGCCACCAGCAGGGCGAGGTGATCGTTCAGGTAGACGTCAAACGGCTTGCTGAGCATGGCAACTTGGCGAGGGTCCGTAGTGGGGGCGGGTTCTCGGGCATTGTAGGCGCTGGCAGTTCAAATGGCGTCCCGGACAGACAGGTCCCGGAGGAGGAATCGGCAGCATCGGCACGCCCCCACCTGCTGCTTGCCGCCAAGGGAGCCGCGCTGCTGGAAAATCCGCCCCGGCGACCATCGGCCCGACTAGCGTGAAGGTCGGCAACATCTTCACGCCACGGAGAACCTTTTGATGAAGACCCACCTGGTGCTTGCTCTGTCCTCGGCCCTGCTGCTCGGCGGTTCGGTCGGCTGCGAAAACAAAGAGAAGGTCCTGGAAGTTGACGCCCCCGGCCTGGAGGTCGACGTCGAGCGCGACGTCGACACCGGCGAGGTGGAAGTGAACGTCGACGAGAATTAATGCTCGTCGCGCTGGGGGACGGCGCGTCTAGGCGATGCCGCCATTCACCGGCACGACTTGCGCGGTGACCCAGCCCGCGGCGTCGCTGGCCAGGAACGCCACCACCTCGGCGATCTCCGGCGGCGTGCCGATCCGCCCCAACGCGGCCATCTCGCTTAGCGTTGCGATCTGCTCGTCCGACTTGCCGTCGGCAAACAGCTCGGTGTCGGTGGGGCCGGGCGCCACCGCGTTAACCGTGATCCCGCGGCCGCCGACCTCCTTGGCCATCACGCGCGTGAGCTGCTCGACGGCCGCCTTGGTCGCGGAGTAGGGGCCGTACGCCGGCAGCATCATCCGCGTGGTGCTGGACGAGACGTTGACGACCCGCCCGCCGTCGGCCAGCCGCGAGCACGCCAACCGGCAGGTGTTGAACACGCCCTTCACATTGATAGCGAACACGCGGTCGAAGTCGTCGTCGGTCGCGTCCTCCATGCGCTTGTAGATGGCGACCCCGGCGTTGTTGACCAGCGCGTCGGCCCTGCCAAAGTGCTCCTCGGCCGCGTCGAACAGCCGGGGCGCGTCGTCCGGCTTGCTCACGTCGGCCTGCACGGCGACCGCCTCGCCCCCGGCCGAGATGATCTGCTCGACTACCGCGTCTGCTTCATAGGAGCTCGAAGCGTAATTCACGACAACGCGGGCGCCATTGGCGGCCAGCTTCGTGGCGATCGCGGCGCCGATGCCACGCGAGGCTCCGGTGACGATGGCGGTCTTGTTGGTGAGCATGCGGGGGCTTTCTTGATCGATGGAATGTTGACCTTCGAATGCACTTCGCAGTACTCATTTGAAACACCCTTTCTCCTGCCGGGGAGGGGGTTATTTCTGCGTGGCAGAAGCGGGCCTTCTTGGGAGGCATTGCACTTCGGCCGCTGAGGTTGTGTGCGATGGCTCAGCGCTTTCGGGCAGGAGCTGAAACAGACGATAGAACGGGATTGAGCTAGGTGATTTCACTCACTCATCCGTCACACACCCCTCACTGGCGCTCTTCACGTTCTTGATGTACTTGTATAGTGTCCCCCGGGTGGCCTTGTATTCGGGAGCCTGCCAGGCGGCTTGGCGTTTGGTCAGCTCGGCTTCGCTGACATCGAGGGTGATCAAGTTGGCTTCGGCGTCGATGGTGATCTTGTCGCCGTTCTGGACCAGGGCGATCGGGCCGCCGACTTGGGCTTCGGGCGTGACGTGCCCGACGATAAAGCCATGGCTGCCGCCGGAGAAGCGGCCGTCGGTGATCATCGCCACGTCCTGCCCCAGGCCCGCGCCCATGATAGCGCTGGTCGGGGTGAGCATCTCCGGCATGCCGGGGCCGCCTTGGGGGCCTTCGTAGCGGATGATCACGACATCGCCCTTGGTGATCTTCTTTTCTTCCAGGGCGTGCAGCATGTCTTCTTCGCTGTCGAAGCAGTTGGCCGTGCCGGTGAACACCAGGCCTTCCTTGCCGGTGATCTTGGCCACGGCGCCGTCGGGGCAGAAGTTGCCGCGCATGATGCGGATGTGGCCGGTTTCTTTGAGCGGCTTGTCGAGCGGGCGGACGATGGTCTGGCCCTCCTTCAGGCCCGGCAGGTCGGCCAGGTTCTCGGCGATGGTCTGGCCGGTGACCGTCATGCAGGAGCCGTCGATCAGGTCGGCTTCGAGCAGCATCTTCAAGACCGCGGGTGTGCCGCCGACGGTGTGCAGGTCTTCCTGCACGAATGCGCCGGACGGCTTGAGGTCCGCCAGGAACGGGACGCGGTCGCTCACCTTCTGGAAGTCGTCGATCGACAGCTCGACGCCCACGCTGCGGGCCATCGCCAGCAGGTGCAGCACGGCGTTGGTCGAGCCGCCGAGCGCCATGATCAGCACCATCGCGTTCTCGAACGCGGCGCGGGTCATGATGTCGCGTGGCTTGAGGTCGAGTTCCAGCAGCTTGAGAATCGCCTGGCCCGCTTGGTGGCATTCCTTCTGCTTGTCGGGGTGCTCGGCCGGGATGGAGCTGCTGTAGGGCAGGCTCATGCCCATCGCCTCGATGGCGCTGGCCATCGTGTTGGCGGTGTACATGCCGCCGCAGGCCCCGGCGCCGGGGCAGCTGTGCTGCACGATGTCCTTGCGTTCTTCCTCGGTGATGCGGCCGGCCAGCCACTCGCCGTAGCACTGGAACGCGGAGACGATGTCCCGCTTCTCATCGCCGCCGCTGCTCTTGGTGAAGCCGGGCTTGATGGTGCCGCCGTAAATCATGATCGCGGGGCGGTTCAGGCGGCCCATGGCGATCAGGCAGCCGGGCATGTTCTTGTCACAGCCGGGCAGGGCGACCAGGCCGTCGTACCATTGGGCCTGCATGACGGTCTCGATGCTGTCGGCGATGAGGTCGCGCGACTGCAGGCTGTAGCTCATGCCGCTGGTGCCCATCGAGATGCCGTCCGACACGCCGATCGTGTTGAACCGCATGCCGACCAGCCCGGCGGGCGCCATGCCGGTCTTGACCTCGTTGGCTAAGTCCAGCAGGTGCATGTTGCAGGTGTTGCCGTCGTACCACATGCTCGCAATGCCGACCTGCGGGCGGTTCATGTCCTCTTCGGTCATGCCGGTGCCATACAGCATCGCCTGGCTGGCGCCCTGGGACTTCGGTTGGGTGATTTGGCTGGAGTACTTGTTGAGCATGGGGAGGATGAGTTGGAAGTTGGGAGTTAAAAGGCGCTAGCTACGATTGCGGGCCGAGCGACAGCCGGTCGGGACGCCTGGTGGGTTTCTGGGCAATCCCGCGATTTTATCCGGAAAAGCGGCCGGGGGCGACGTGCCCCGCGGCGGCTTCTCATTGGTCTTACCTCGCCCGCGGAGGACCGCTAAAGTTCGGCCCATGCGAGTCCTCGACACCGAAACCGAGCGGAAGGTTCCCCTCTGGCGACGAGTCCCCCCCGGGGCGTGGGTGG